TGGAAAAAACCTTGACAACAATGCAAATAACATTGATTCATTTTATTATATGAGTTTATTTTCGTTTGTCCTTCTGCTTCTTCCTCGTCTCGTTGAGATAGCGATGCAAACTTCAAAAGATAACAAAACATAATGACTTAAGCAAAACAACCAATCCTACAAAAAAAGAGAATGATCTCTATCGAAAAACTAAAGAAACTTTTGTTGTATCTTCAGAAAAAAAATATATGTTTTAAACATTTTTACATTAATTAAAAAAGGAATTTGTTTTCTTTCTTGCTTTCACACTGTATTATGATTAAAATAAATACTTTCCTAGAAAAAAGGTCACAATAGAAACGAGTAGCTCCATTTTTTCTTTTTCATTTTGGTTTGTCTTTTGGTAAGACGCCTATTTTATTGATTCAAGATATCTTGCACATAGAAACATAGACAACGATAACAGAATTTTCTAATGAGACCAGATAAAAGCAAACGAAAAATAAAAAACAATGAAAACAAGCAATATATGAAGCAATTCATTTTGAGATCGTATTCATAATCTTTCGTATTTTTCTCTTCTACGAATGACGATCAATCAATAGTGTAATTATTCATGCTTTTTGGACGGATTTTTCGCTTTCATGCCAGATGCACAGAGATTTCGTTTGTCACATGTTTTGTCATTATCATTTCGTCAGTAACAAAGCTCTTGAAATAAAAAACAAAAACGAACGAACAAAAGATTGAGATAAGAAATCCTTCAAGTCTTCTATAGTGATAACAACAATAAACCAAAAAATAGAAAGTATCAACAGGAAAGAAGAAAAAAACCAAAATAAAAACTATCTACGGAGAGTAAGAGACGAATTCTTTTTTTGCTCATTCTTTCTTTTCATCACCATCGAACAGGTATTTAGATTTTTATCTATTTATTCATTTACGGAAAACACAACGTCATTATTATTATCAACATTATTCAAATGGGCAACAAGCAATATTCAGAATCAGCTGCTAGTGGATCTTCTTCATCGTCTACAACAAATAAACCAAAGAAAATATCATCATCATCATCATCATCATCAACAGCAGCATCAGTGTCAACGATGGGCAGAAGTGCTGCGCTTCCTCAACCTGCTCGTCGAATTATTCAGAATTTTCTTCTTGTCTGGCTCGATGCCAATGTTGACGAGTCAAAGGAAGATTTCCAAAATTCATTAACACATTTACGACGAATTGTAGCATCCATTACAACATTCACCGATGCTCAGCAATGTTTTGATTTTCTTAATGGCATTACAAAGGAAAAGGCATTTATGATCGTATCGGGTTCACTTGGACAGAAATTTATACCAGAAATGGAAGCCATGCCACAGTTAGAATCTGTGTACGTTTTTTGTGGTAATCAATCTTATCATGAACAATGGGCCAACAAAGTATCGAAGGTCAAAGGCGTATATACAAAAATCGAAACAATTTGTAAAGCCCTAGAAATTGATCGACAACGATGTGATCAAGCTATGATCTCGATCAGTTTCAATGGTCTTGATGCATTGTTTATGTACACACAACTTTTGAAGGAAGCAGTCTTAGAAATCGAAGATGACGATGCCAAATCGATTAAAGATCTCGTAGAATATTGTCGTCTTCAAAATGATATTGATGATGATGAAATTAAAAAGGTACAACGTGAATATCGTGATCATAAACCGATTTGGTGGTATACGGCTCCTTATTTCATGTACTCAATGCTTAATCGTGGTCTTCGACAAATGGATGTCGACATTATTCTTAAAATGGGCTTTTTCATCCGTCATCTACATCAACATATTACAGACTTACATCATGAACAGCAAAACAGCAAAGCAGCCATGCCATCAAAATTTCAAGTTTTTCGTGGTCAAGGCTTATCCATGGAAGCCTTTGAAAAAATGAAGAAAACCAAAGGTGGACTCATGTCCTTTAATAATTTCTTATCGACAAGTCGCAATCGTGAGATTTCTTTCAAAACCTTTGCACGGCCAGCAGGATTCGATGCGGATTCAGTTGGCATCCTTTTCATTATGAACATCAATACGGCTATTTGCACAGCTTCATCGACACCTTTTGTCAACGTCAAAGGTGTTGGCTTCTACGACGATCAAGAAGAAGAAATTCTCTTCTCGACACATACAATTTTTCGTATCGATCGTATAGAACGTATTGAAGATAAGCATACAGATCGTCTCTGGCAAGTCAATCTCACCCTTGCTGGTAATCAAGATGATGATTTTAACAAACTAACAGCACATTTACGCGAAGATATTGCAGGGACTACAGGATGGTCTCGATTCGGTGATATACTCATTAGTGTGGGTAAGTTTGAAAAAGCAGGACATCTCTATGAATTACTCCTTGAAAAAGCTTCTTCTGACAAAGAAAGATCGGAATACTATTTTCAACTTGCCAGGGTGTATGATAACATGGGCGAAAATTCGAAAGCACTTAAATATTACGAAAAAAATCTCGAATTTAAACAAAAAACTTTTCCTCCGAATCATCCCCACTTGGCTTCTTCCTACAATAACATCGGTTTGGTGTATTATAACATGGGCGAGTACTCGAAAGCACTTACATCATACGAACGATCACTTGAAATCCAAAAAATAGCTCTCCCTCCAAATCATCCCGACTTGGCTGCTTCCTACAACAACATCGGTAATGTGTATGCTAAAATGGGCGAGTACTCGAAAGCACTTTCATCGTATGAACGATCACTTGAAATACGAAAAATAGCTCTCCCTCCTAATCATCCCGGCTTGGCTTCTTCCTACAACAACATCGGAGAAGTGTATAGAAACATGGGCGAGTACTCGAAAGCACTTTCATCATACGAACGATCACTTGAAATCCAAAAAATAGCTCTCCCTCCGAATCATCCCGACTTGGCTACTTCCTACAACAACATCGGTTTGGTGTATGATAACATGGGCGAGTACCCGAAAGCACTTTCATCGTATGAACGATCACTTGAAATCAAAAAAATAGCTCTCCCTCCGAATCATCCCCACTTGGCTTCTTCCTACAACAATATCGGTTCGGTGTATTATAACATGGGCGAGTACTCGAAAGCACTTTCATATTACGAAAAAGACCTGGAGATCACTCTGAAAGCTCTCCCTCCGAATCATCCCGACTTGGCTTCTTCCTACAACAACATCGGTTCGGTGTATAATAACATGGGCGAGTACTCGAAAGCACTTTCATATTACGAAAAAGCACTACAAATCAAGAAGATTGCTCTTCCCCCAGGACATCCAAGTACTGCACTTACGGAAAGAAACATTGAACTTCTGAAAAAGAAAATGTAATTTTTTTTTCTTAACGAGAAAATAAATTGGTCTTCTTGAACGCGTTTGGTTCGCCGAAGCGCACCAGCTGCAATAATTTCACGTACGCGCGACCAGGGATACCCTCCGTATTCCATTGGGTTGTACAGTGGACAAAGCCGGCAATGATAAGGCAAATATACATTTATGTATGAATGACTAGTACATCCATTATCATCATCTTCGGAAAGACGATGACGAGATGGATGCTTCGAGTCATACATACATAGATGTATGTTATAAAGGCCTACCATCTACACGCCTGTACAGGTTACCAACAGAACGTCGGATATCTCTGGGAAGGTTCATTTGTTTTAGAGCCACCCTCAAAAGCTCCGTTTGATTTAAATTTTTTTTTCTTCTGTTACGAAGAACGAGAAGAAAGACGACGTTGACGGAATTTTAATACGCAGCGTATAATGACAACCGGTTGTTTTAACGCATGCTGTGATAGTGAGGGCACGATATCTATGTCGTCTTTACACATGTTATGTTCAATTTATTTTTCTTTTCGTCTGGAATGTGTAAGAACAAATGAGATGTCGTGCACTCAATATCATATTATACGAATGATGACTGAACGAAAGAAGAACACAAAAAAAAAATTATTGACTATTCTCTTTGATTAGTAACATACATATATATAAGAGATAATTGAACGAAGAAAGTGGAAAAGAAATTTTTATAAATTTAATGATTTTTGTTATTTATTACATCAGGTTTTACAAAAATATTATTTTACGATCATATTGATTGAATTTAATATAATAAAACAGAAGTTCAAATAGAACAAGTGCAGTAATTGATTTTTTTTAAATAATAATTTACAGTAAAAATTATTGATCTAATATAAAGATTTGTTGTAGAATAGTTTTTCGTTCATTCATTGATGAAGGTGAATATTCAATCGACGTTAGACTTTTTCCGTCAACTATTCATTCATTTATTATGATTATCAAAAAATGTTTAAACTTATTTATTTAGCTTTAAAATAAATGAATTCAATATAAATTAAACAAAATGGATAAACTAAGTAAATCACTTGAAGTTTTAAAATTATTTTCAACAACAACATATTATCGAAAGTTTGTTTTGATCTAGAGATAAAGATGAAAATAATTTTAAATCAGTTACGACTATAAATGCTGCGAAACGTATTAATGCTGACCGGTTTAACGCGTTTCGCAGCTGCTAAATCGGTTAAAAACGCCGCGAGACGATATACTTTTCGTTTTCATCCGAGAATTGTGGCTCCGAAACGCGTTTTGAGTAAGTGGAAAAAAGGGTTGTATACGTTTCTTATCATGGGAAACGCTGCGAACGCGTTAAATCGGTCAGCATTAACGCGTTGCGCAGTGAATATATCCTAATTTTTTTGTCCCATGGGTTGTTAGTTTGGCGGTGAGAGCTTTCATTTGACGCCAAAATATCAAGTCTAGCTCGATTACAATACAAATACCTCCATTGTTAGAAGAGATAACTAAGGAGACATATTGATTATATCGAATAGATGTTGGAAATAGTTTATTTTTTAGGCAGAAATGAAGAATCTGTCGTAAAAATGGAAAATTTCTCCGAACGACAAAGTTTTGGTGAAAAATTCCCCCAACTGTAAAATTCAATTAAAGACTCGTTGGGAAAGTTGTACATTGTTTCTCCGAGAGAAAAAAATATATATTCCAAAAAACTTTCCGCAAACGGCTGTCGGGTGTGGGCGTGAGTCTCGTTGTGATGTCGATACCCACACCCACCCTATATTAAGTTTTTTTTATGTTTTTCTGATCAAATACATCCTTATTCAATAATATACAGCAATAAGTGAAGAAAAACGAAAGAAATATAAGAAATCAAGTTTTTTTTTAATTTAAACACAGGGAAAAATAGTTTTCTTATTATTAATAACCAAAGTTTCTAAGTTTAACAACAAACACATACT